TCCATAACTTAATGTGACAAAAAAACATTTTTTGGAAGTCGTTGAAAAATAATTTTTTCCTTAAAAAGTATGCACGATGGAGTTTTTTTACAAGAGACAAAAAATGTAGTAAGTAGTAAATACTAGAGCGACGATTTAACAAAAAGAAAATCTGCCGTGGGTGGAGTTAGAAGATATTTATACTAAAATTTATTATTTATATTTTAAAATTTGCGATTTTGTTCATTTTAAGTGCACCCCCAACGCAACTTTTTTCAAATCAGAAATGCATTTTGTTTTTAATTTTTATTTTATCGAAAATTTTTAAATATTGTCACATTGAGAATTAACGTCAATGTAAAATTACAGCGTTTTATACATTTGTTTTTTAATTAATTTTCTGCCTAAATAATAAAATTAACAAACCGTTGTATTTCACAACGGTTATGATTTTTTTAACGATATTAAACGATAATTTCGATAAAATGTAACAAAATTTACACAAAAAAAACAAAATTACTTTTTGATTTTAAAATAGTTAAAATTCTCAAATAGAAACTAACAGCATCAAAAGTTTTCAATCTCCAATTTTTTGTTCAAAAGGTCTAAAGTTATGAGGTTATAAACATGTACAGGATGTCCCATTTTCGTGTGTTTTATAGGGTTTGTCGTTTATAAATACAGATACAAAGATGTGATTTTCACATAACTGGTGCTACATTTTTATGAAAAAAAATGCTACACACAGATTTGTCCTAGCCCTCTTAGTTCTTGAAATATAAGGCAAATATGAAAAATGTTCACTTTTCGACTCCCCTCCTGTATATCGGTTATCCTATAACTTAGCAAAAAAGTGAAGAGACTGAATTCCGTACAGTTTTTCACGTAGAATCCAGTAGCGTAACTAGATTTCGCTGAGAGCTGTCATTTTCGAAATATGACTCAAGTTTATATTTTTTTAAAGAGAAGAGTACACCCTGTATACTATTTTTTATTTTATTTGTTTTATTATGAACTTTCTAAAAATATAATCTATACTTATCATAAGTAAGGTAAAAAATGCATTATTTACTTTTTTAACACACACAACTTAATAAATTTTTACATCAATCAAAAATAATTAAAAGAGTATTATTAGTTTATTTAATTTAATTTAATCAGATTTTGTTTTCCGTCATATTTTCTTAATAAACTGCACCGAAAATGAACTTGTGGAGCTTTTAGCTTACACTTAGAACACCCTATCAGTCGTAGTTATTGTTATTTTTGATGTACTTATGCAATAATTCTACACACAAAAACTAGCGTGGAATGGTTAATAACAAAAATTGCACGTTTCTACAATATTTATGAATACCGCGTGCATCTGAAAAGTGGCCCACCCCTTTACCTTTTTTAATTTTTCAGATAAAAAAACGAGACTTCATATGTTAGTATATGACATAAATTATAGGATCGATTGACGTATTCAGTTGTTTTTGGCCACTTCCTGTTTCGCCGAAAATTACTACAATTTTTGATTTTTAATTGGCACCCTCCGTGTTTAAAAAAAAACTAACTTGGCCTCTGTATTTCACAAATTATCAAATTTGCAAATCTAAAAATACTATCAGATATTCCTCATAAAGTGGCTATGAGAATGTGCAATTAGTTTTTTGATTTTCTAAAAAGTAACGACAGGAAAAAAATAAAATTGATTTTCAAAAAAATCCGTTTTTCCAAAAAACTCAGCAATCCTTGAAATTTTTAAAACTTTTTTGATGGCATTTTGGTGAATACCCCAAGGGAGCAACCTTGCCCCAATTTAACCATCTTCGGCTCAACTTTCGTTTAGCTGAAATCTGTTATATAAAAAATGACTTTATGCGTTCTAGAAGGCGTTAGGAGTACAAATATACAAAAATTTCCCTGCGGAAATACGTCGTTTTCATTTTTCGGACTTTAGTATAGCCGAAATCTGTTACATCAAAACTAGTCTTCGGGGTGTTTTAGACATTTTTCTAAACATAAAAACACAAAAAAGCGTCTGCGGAAATTTTTTATTTTTATTTTACATAAAAAAATGCTTTGACTTTAGAATAGCCGAAATCAGTTACAGGAAAAATGAACTTATATTTGTTTTATACGAGCCTTTACGAGCAAAGAAATACAAAAAAATTCCTGCGGAAATGTGTCAGTGTCATTTTGTGCACTTTGTTTTTCATTCATTTTTCAGTTTAGAAGCTTACGGGACCCGGGAGCGAATAGGGGTGCTGGGTGGGGTAAAACATCTTTCGGAGGAAGAACAATTCTTGTAGAATAGATAATATAGGTTCTTGTAAACTATAAGTACCTCGGAATGTTGCACTTATTCTTATTTTTTATTAAAGCTTTACGTAAACAGGGCTGATTCAAAACAAAAAATCATTGGATCATGCAGTTTTATTTTATATTTTAATAATTAACTGTGATTTTGCAAAAATATTAAATTGGTTAGCATTTGGGTTGCTTTGGTTAGCTTTTCTTTGTGGAGGGTGTTAAGCTGTGGTTTTTATATTTTAATAATTAACGGTGATTTTGCAAAAATATTATTAGATTGGTTAGGATTTGGGTTGCTTAGGTTAGCTTTTCTTTGTGGAGGGTGTTAAGCTGTGGTTTTTATATTTTAATAATTGTGATTTAAAAGATAATGTATATATGTATATGTATTTATGCTTATAAAAATGGAAAATGAAAATCAAGCATTTCCGCAGGAAATTTTTTATTTTCCTGAGTTTGTAAACGCTTCTAAAAGGCAAAAATATATTTATTTTTTATATAACTGATTTCAGCTATTCTAAAGTCTATTAAATTTCCTCAGAAAATGGATACAGTTTATTTTCGCAGGAAAATTTTTATTTTCCTCAATTCGTGAATGCTTCTAAACGGCAAAAATATATTTATTTTTTATAACTGATTTCAGTTATTCGAAAGTCTAATAAATTTCCTTAGAAAATGAAAACAGCTTATTTCCACAGGAAAATTTTTGTGTTTATATGTTCGGAAAAAAAGTAAAAATAAAACGCAACATGTATTTTTTTATAGCAGATTTCAGTTATTCTAAAGTGCGAAATTTGGAAATTACGCATTTCCGCAGAAAAATTTGTGTTTTCCGTGGTTCGCAGTAGCTTTTTAAAGACAATTTTTTTTTTCTAATAACTGATTTCAGCTAAACGAAAGTCAATCCCTATCTTCGTATCTACTACGGTTTCCGAGATACCAATGCTCGTACTTCGAATTTGTAGCACCCTATATAAAGTGTGTGTAATCAAATTATTGATAAAAAAATGCTTGTCGAAATATGCTAATGAGCCACCCTCATTCCATTTGAAAAAATTGAGACATGATTAAAAACTATTTGGACATCTTTTAACTGGCCAGGACAAGACACGAAAAACATTAGACGATCAAAACTATTTTCCAAGGCTCCTTGTTTAATAATTAGTGTTTTTAGCACAGCCATGGCACTCTAGATTGAAATTTAAAATACGATTTTTTTCAAGAGAAAATGTCAAAAGTTGACATATAATATATCATTCTATTCAGAGTGTCATTTTTTATCGAATAAAATAAAAAATACCGAGGGTGCCATTTAAAAATCAAAAGTTGTAGTAAATTCCGGTGAAACAGAAAGGAACCAAAAACAATTGAATTCGTGAATCAATTCTAATTTATGTTATACATATGTATGATGTATACTAACATACCAAATCTTGTTTTTTTATCTGAAAAAATAAAAAAGTTACAGGGGGTGAGCCACTTTCGAGACGCACCCGGTATAAGTATAAATTAACATTAACAATAACATTTTCAAATTTGCTCTATACAGGGTGGTCCGAACTATATTCCGGAAACTTCGGCAGCATATTCTGCAGATAAAAATAAGTAAAAAAGTTCGTATAAATGTATGTCCTAAAATGCTTAGTTTCAGAGATACAAGGTGTAGAAGTTTTATTTTTATTTCGATTTTTTCCAAATAATTTCTGCAGTAACGTCAATATTTGGATCAAAATTGATGTCTGGGAGTTTTTTGACATGAGAAATTTGGATTTTGATTTCAATATGACTCCTACTAGTAGATGGGCGCCACCTACATATTTTTAAACTGGTTTGAAGAGTAATAACTTTTCGTCCGTACCTGTATAAAACTACTGAGTAAAAAAATATACATTTACGACGTTTTTTACTTAAAAAATGCCTCTTGGTAAAAATCGCTACGAGTATTGGTTTTCGAGATATTTGGAATCGAAATTATCAATACCTGTCATCATTGACATAAATTAAACACGTTCTGTAAATTATTAGACTGAAAACATACATTTAAAATGTTTTTGTACCAAAAGTTCAATAGAAACTGTTTTATCATCGTTTTTCTGCAGAAAAATTTATGATTAATTTAAAAAAATAAAAATTTCCCGAATTTATTATTTCAGTGAAATAACTATCTACTCAACGTGTTTGTTTCGTCGATAATTACATGTATTGACTATTTCACATTTACAGGTAACGGAGAAAAAGTTATTACGCTTCAAAACAGTTAAAACACATGTAAGTGGCGCCCTCTACCAGTAGGAGTCATATTGACATCAAAATCAAATTTCTCATGTCAAAAAACTCCTAGACATCAATTTTCATCTAAATATTGACGTTGCTTCAGAAATTATTTGGAAAAATTCGAAATAAAAATGAAACTTCTACAGCCTGTATCTCTGAAACTAAGCATTTTAGGACATACATTTATACGAACTATTTTAATTATTTTTATCTGCAGAATATGCTGCTGAAGTTTCCGGAATACAGTTCGGACCACCCTGTAAATATTTCTGGAACTAAGAGGGCTAGCACAAATCTGTGTATAGCATCTTTAGTTTCATAAAAAAGTAGTTCAGTGATGTGTTGTACCTACCTCTACTCTGTGACCTCTACTCATAAACGAGAAACCCCATAAAGCACACGAGAATATGTCATCCTGTACATTAAAAAATACTGTTTTTATTACTTAGGTGCAGAGAGAATAGTAAGGCACTTACATGAAAAAACTATTCCAATAGCTATTGCAACTTCATCTAGTCAAAGAAGTTTTGACATGAAAACGCAGCCACACAAAGAATTGTTTGATCTTTTTCATCACGTTGTATGTGGGGGCTCCGACCCTGAGGTAAAAAATGGCAAACCAGCACCCGATATTTTTCTAATATGCGCATCCAGATTCGACGACAAACCAGAACCAAAGAATTGTCTAGTGTTTGAAGATTCAGTTAATGGCATGAAAGCAGGTATAGCAGCAGGAATGCAGGTTGTAATGATTCCTGATGAAAATGTATCACAAGAAATGTGGAAAATGGCAACATTAAGACTCGACAATTTGAATCAAATCCATCCGCAACTGTTTGGATTGCCGCCTTTTCCTGAAGCCTCAAATAAGTGAAATGTATCATCTGTTGCCGAAGATAAAAAATAAGCATGTCGAAATTAACAATTTTATTTACACATGTTAAAAACTACAATATAAATTACTAATTCCAAACTTAGTTCATGCAGCAATTGATTTTACTTTGGTTAAAACGTCACTCGATGATAAATCTTTTAGAGAAATAGCTTTCTCTTTTCCCAACTCTAAAATGTACAGAAAGTTTTATTTTTCTAAGAAAATAATGTACAGGGTGTCCCATTTTAGTTGAAATCATACGGTATCTCCATTAATGGGCGAATTTGTAACAAGGCTGATTTGATTTCCCCTAACATCTCAAGAGCTGTACAGTGGAGACACCAATCATTCTGCGGTCAACGCATAAAACACTACTTATTTGCAACTTGCTGTAACTTTTCTTGCATGTAGGTAAAATTGCAAATTCGTGCCTTAATATGGAGAAAATACGACTAGAATTTTGTTTACATAATATCGTGGGCGTACAGCGAAAATCCACTAAGTCACATTTTTGGTTGAATTTGATTAAACACACCACTATGTCCAGTTTTTTACATATCCTTATATTATAAGGATGCCGAAATTGGACTTTATGGGTTTTTCATGTTAAAGACCGTGAAAAACTGGACATAGTGGTGTGTTTAATCCAATTCAACCAAAAATGTGACTTAGTGGATTTTCGCTGTACGCCCACAATATATAAATATTATAAAAACTAATTAAAATAATTGCAACTAAAATAGGACTCTCTAACAGTAACTTAAAATTACTTTTTTAATCTCCATAAATAAAACGACCTGCTGGTAATGAGTGGCAAATCAGCCTTAGAAAAATTCATCTATGTACTATGTACAAATGTACACATCACAAACATGTATTTCAAACTTACCAAATCTGGCCCACAATTTTGGTTCAACTCCAGAACACTCTCGAATCAAAATTGGAAATTTTGGATTGTTAGATTTCAAATCTACATAATATTTCTCAATAAATTCTCTAAAAGAATTATTATATAACCTTAAAATAGTAAAATTAACTATTTTATTACCTTACGCCTTTACTGGCGGCACCTGACTGGCATAAATGAACACGTATTTCTTTTAGAGCCTTGGGGAACTTAATAGCTGCAGACATTTTTTTCTTTAAAAACAATATTAAAATTAAGTAACAATATTTTGTTTTTTTTTTGGAAATTTTTAATTTGGTACTTAAATGACAATTGACAATTATTGACAGAATTAATTTTAGTAATGTTCGACTTTTTTTTATTTAGGTTGGTATCAGAGGTTGATATAAAATTTGAACTAAAACACTAGTAATGTGTCAAATATTAACGAACTACTACCAAAAAATCGATAATCTAGGGATGATTCGTAAAAAAAGCGTTTTATGATTTTATATACGACCACTATTATAAAAATGTACAAGTTGCACGATCAAGATTTAATATTATCAAAAATATCACATAATAAGGAACAAATCCACAAAACATAAATTTTTTATTTATTTAAATTAATCAACAAACAAAGTTTTTCGGTTATGTTTTCACTGTTATTTAAAAAAAACTACATTAGTTACATAAACTACACATTTACTACTCGACATTTAAAAAACTACTTGTGACATGTAGTAAATGTAGTTTGTTAGTTACTACGTGTTGTTTAACAACTCTGGCTGCAGCCAATAGGATCCTGCAGCCAATGACTCAAGAATCCAAGGACAAATAACACCCGAGACCAAATTGTTACCATGGCACGAATCAGTGCCGTGGCCATATATTTTTCTTAACTTAGCTGCTTGAATAGATATTTATATTTTTGATAAATGTTTTGACTACGCCTATGGTGTAGGCGATGGTATCATACTAATTAATTACGGAAAAAACGTATTCAAATGTTAACAAAAGCTACAAAACTAGTATCGATGTATAGCACACATCAACTACATATAATATCAGAAAAATAATTATCGAATTCAATAAGAAAATTAAGAAAACGCTAAAAAGGTGGAGCGGACTGTTTATTTACCTATGAAACGTAACTCCTGCCTCTTTCTTATTGCTGCTGTTTTTACACTTGAAAGCTGAACAACTAATCACCATTGTAATAAAGTTTATACAAAGCTCACTACACATAAACTATTAAAAACCGCTAAAATTGTCGCTGGTGACCAGCTGATGACCAGGGTTCGGAAGTAGTTAACTAAGACGTAATTTACCTGATTAACTACGTGTAGTTTTTCTTCAAAAACTACGTCTTTTCCCGTTCATTAACTACATGAAAACTACGATAATAAACTATGTATTGATATTATAAATAATTTTCCTTTGTATGAGGTGTAATAGAGATAATATGATGTAAATATTGTATTTAATGCCATATTTCTTCTGTTTTCTTAAATACATTATGTGTTTACCAAACCAAACAGCCCACTAAAAATAAACAGCCCACTGCACTTTTTTAGCGTTTTTTTATTGAATTCGATAATTATTTTTCTGATATTAAAATGTACTTGATATGTCGCTATACGTCGATACTAGTTTTGTACCTTTTGTTAACATTTTAATACTTTTTTTTCGTAATTAATTAGTATGACACCACCGCATACACCATAGGCGTAGTCAAAACGTTTATCAAAAATATAAATATCTCTTCAAGCGACTATGTTAAGAAAAATATGTGCCATGGCACTGTTTGGTGGTATGGTAACAATTTTGCTACAGATGTTATTCGTCCTTGTATTATTTAGTTATAAGAAATAATGTTGGAAATGCATCTTATTACTCACTCATACTCATGATATACTGCACTCAGTTGCTAAGATGAGTGATTCGGACTTAATATATGCTTTTATCTGCTTTATCTTTATTAATAATAAAGCTGACTGCCTAAAAAATAAATTAATTTTCGGAAGCAGACAAAGGCCCTCAGACAGCTTAAAATACACGAATTTGAATATTATAGAAAATCTAAAAATCATAATCTTGAAATATCGTTACTTTTGATATTCAAAATAAAATAATACACATTTTTCAAATAATATATTATTAGAGAAATTATTAATATAAATGATAATATATTTCTTAAAAGAAATGTTTGCTTTAAAATGCTTTATTAGTGACCAATATATCAAATCAAAGAAAATAAACTTTTTTTTATTTAAACTAAGCTTGGAGGTATTATACATATCTATTATTATATCCAATATCATGTAAGAAAACTCTAATCTAAGAGAATAATTAGAGTGTGTTATATTCTGCTTTTTCCTTCCAGCTTCGATGACTTCTGGTAAATATTTCAGTCGGAACCGCCGATTGTGAGTATAGGGCAGAAACAGCAGCTGCAAAACCTACAGATACACATGTTTCCTCTGGTACATTTTCCAAGAAGGCCGTTATAAATCCACTTGCAAAACAATCTCCTGCACCGCTAACATTCACAATATCCGTTCTCGCTTTCACAGGGTAATGTCTAACTGATATTCTGTTTGATTCGTTACTGAGCAAAAAGGGTTCAGTAGCTAAACCTTTCCTTGCAATTAATATACCCTTCTCTCCAAGAGTAACTATAACGTTATCAATCACACTTGCAACGTATTTTAGAACTTTAACTGGATCGTCGTTTTTGTCATTATGTTTTTTTAGCTTGTCTTCTTTTAAAAAGTTATAAATATGATTCAACTCTTCCAGATTTGGAGTTATAAATTTAATAGCTTTCCAGTTGTTTGTTTTGAACGGCTTTTGTGCAATACTTATGTCTGTTGGTTCGTAGAATACTGAAACAAACAAAATGCATATTAATTTTAAATAATATTTGTTTTGTATATTATGTCGCAGTTGTATCGAATAACTCGGCATTTTGCAAAAAGACTAGGCATATTATAAAACGCCGGAATTTTTAACAAAAGAAGGATATTGTACAAAGAGCCTACTTTGTTTTCAGTCGTTTTACAAAATGCCTAATGAAGACTAGTCAGATTGCACAAAACATTTTACGCGGGATTGGTATAACTAACTTAAATTTATCTGACGACATTTTTTGAACTTCTCTTTCAAAAGTTATAAATAATGGCAAAAAAAGCAATAATTCTGTTAAATAGAGTATCGTTGAGGATGATTATTATAAAGATCTAAATTCATTTTATTCTAAAAGAAAGCAAAATTCCACAAACGAGCAGTCCTGTACACAGAATCGAATTACAAAGTATAAAGTATAATAATTAAATAAGATAATATTTAAATTCAAAAAGCAAATGCGCTTTGATCAGTCGCGGCTCGTCAGGTGCAGTAGGTAAAGGGGCACTTCACCGAATTAAAGAAAAAACTTTACTACTTAAAATATTAATTTAGTTTAATATATTTACATGCATCTAAATAATAAAATGGTAATTTCTTATAAGTTATTTATTTTTTTCCGGGCGGACCTCTGCAAAATAGGTCCACCGCATAGTTAATTCCGGCCGAAAAAGTAGCATTATAGGCCCGCACGCGCCTACAAGCCAGAACTGCAAGTGAAAATGTTTCTATTTCTGAGCCAAGCGGCTGCACGGTTTCCATGGTAACGCATAACGTCAGCCTAGTGGCAGATGTAAATCCCCCCGCCCCGAAGTTTATTATCGCTGACCGATGTGAATGAGTTTTTGGTTTTGGGCAGTTCTCTTCGTCTTCCTTTTGTTCAGGAAATGCGTGACGGCGGCGCATAATTTATGCATTTATGCTAATATTCGGCTACTTCGGCGAGTAATTAACCGTGTAAAGACTGTGAAGTTGTTGTTGTTATTTATTGTTGTTTGTCTTTTTTATTGTTGTTTGCTTTTGTTGATTTAACCGTTTGTTAATTTTTGCCGATTTTTGCTGTTTGTTTTGTTGTGTTTTAAAACTGTTTTGTGTGTGTGTATGTGTTAAAAAATGAACCCGATTAATGACTTGGTGTGCAATTTATTGGAAACTCCCTTCAGACGGTGGACAGATTAGGATAAGAGGGATGTTTTATCTCAAGGGCGACCAACTGAAACTTTAACCATAAATTGCAAAAAAGAAGTAAGAAAAAGTGGTAAATCTTATAATAATAAATTTAAGTCTTCCTGGTTTTCTAATTTTAATTGGCTATGGTTTAGTATATTGTTTTACAAAAATTATTTTGTTGGTTGTGTTTACTATTTTCTAATAAACATGGTATTTGGAATAAAGAAGGGTTCACTGATTTCGTAAATATAAAAAGATCTTTGCATAAACACGGGGATTCTGCAGAAAACTGATGTATCTCTTTTTACTTAATGCGTTTTAACCCAAACTAAAATGAAAATATTATAGGTATTAGTGTAAAAATAATAACAAAACAAATGTTGACAAAATAGTGAATGCAGCAAAAATTTTTTAAATAATATTTTTAAAAATGTTGATAAAATGGTGAATGTGCCAAAAAAAATTTCTCCTGCGGCGCAATTTAAAAAAAAAATAACTCTTTACCTAATTTTTTACTCACGAGCCACTGGCTTTGATATGAGATGATATCAGAGATGGGTAACTATTTCAAATGAAATTATTTAAAATAGCTATACAAAATACAAAATGTCATTTTTTATTTTAAATACATTTGAAAAAGTATTTTCTATTTTGTATTTTAAATAGTTTTTCTATTATCTATTTTATATTTTCATTTAAATATATTTTGAAAACCATTTTACCCACCTCTGGATGATATGGGGCAGATCGGGATAATGTATAGAGTCATTATAGTGTAGATCATAAAATAATAAACTAGAAATGTAGATGTGATTTTTTATTTCCACGGTGTAGATCCAAATCTTTATCTAAATTATATTACAGTGTAGTGTGGCCCATCCTTGAAACATATTAAAGTTTATCGATATATTTTTTAAATATTATTATATCGATATTTTTGCACATCCCTAGTCTAAATTTGACATTTAGGTGTTGGTTATTTTTCTAGGATTTTTGTGTCAACTTTTTGACTTTTTGATTTTGATTTTCTAAATAAAAATAAATCTAAAATGGGATTGAAAACAAAAACAGGGTCTTGTGCAATTGTTGTAGCTATTACAGCATTTCTATTTATTTTAATAGCATTCTGTTCCCCTTATTGGTTAGTTAATGATGGCCAATACCCAGATGCAAGTTTCCAGAAAATTGGTGAGTTGTTAATGGGTGTATTTTGTATTATTATTAACGGTTCCCAACAACACACCTTGTTTAAACATAGAACGTGTAATTTAATAATTTAAAATGCCCAGTATAAATAAATAGGTTTAATATTTATGTAGGAATTAAATAACTATTGGTAATACCTAACTATTTATTACATCTATTAAAAAATAAAGGATATATTTTTGAAAATAACTTATTTTTTCAATTTTAGGTCTCTGGGAAGTATGCCTAAATAATTTTGAAGACTTCCGCCACCATTATGACTACAAGTTTACTGGTTGTTGGTGGGTGTTTGAAGAGGAGTATTATATTATAGATGACTTCCTACTGCCAGGGTTTTTCATTGCAACCCAGTTCTTCTTTACGTTGTGTATGACCTTAGTCCTTGTTGCTGCCTTTTTGACATGGCTATATTGTTTCTGCAGTAGAGATCATGATAAGTACCTCTTGCTCTTGTTAAGCAACGGTTCAAATCTGATACTGGGTGGAATTTGTGGATTAATTGCAGTTTTAATATTCGGTTTTAACGGGGATAATCGTGACTGGATGCCTTATTGGAGAAACAACGATTTAGGTTGGTCATTTGGACTGGCCTGTGTGGGATCTTTACTGTTGTTCCCTGCAGGAGTTCTGTTTCTCGTCGAGGCAAGAAGAGCAAAATATCGAAGACTGAGAGGTTCAGCTCCACAGTCTCATTATAGCATTGAGGTGCAAAAACCTGGACCACACCATACAGATATTTAAGTTGCATAGTTTTTTAATATTTTTAGTTTATTCCATCACATGGAATAGATGTTTACAAAACATGCACTACTTATGTCTGGTATTAATATTTTTTCGAATACTAGATTAATAAGGAAATATTGCATTTCCATTGTTTTTATTTTATTTTATTTAAAAAAATACGTTTAGGTATATAATTTTTTATATATTGTAATATAATTATTTTGTTAGTGTGTAATGTTAAGTTAGATATGAATATTTTTATTATTTAGTTGCAATCCGTCCATAACAAATGCTTTATATTTTTACTAACAAATTTTTATTGTCATATACAAATGTACAAAAATTTGTAATAAATATGATTTTGTATATATACAATTCTAGTATATTCTTTTTGATTTTCTAATGATATTAGATTATAATGATAAAAATCACCTTAGTGGAACCTAAGAGTGGAACTGAAACAATACCGGGTGCGTCTCAAAAGTGGCTCACCCCTACAAGTTTTATATTTTCAATTTTTTCTGGTCACTTCCTGTTTCACCGAAAATAACTACAACTTTTGATTTTTAAATAATACCTTCGGTATTTTTTTACTTCTTTCAATAGAAAATGACACTCTGAATTGAATGACATCTGACATCAACTATTTCTTTGACATTTTCGCTTTAAAAAAATCGTATTTGAAATTTCAATCTAGAGTGCACTGGCTGTGTTAAAAACACTATTTTTTAATCAAAGAGCTTTGGAAAAATAGATTTGACTGTTAATGATAAAAGAAGCCCAAATCGTATTTTTACCATATCTCATTTTTTTTCAAATGGAACGAGGGTGGCTCATTAGCATATTTGGAAAAATATTTTTTTACGAATAATTTGGTATACAACACACCTGGTATTTTGTGTCAAATTGTCGTTATGAACCGCATGTTTCAATTTCAAATAAAGCATATGAGAAAATGTCAAAGTTGACATCTGATATGTCACTCTATTCAGGATGCATCCACACTATCCTAGAAACGGCGTATCGGCGTAACGACCTTGAATAGATTTCCAGTAATTTTATTGGCTGAAATCAAACCGTTTCAAGGTCGTTACGCCGATACGCCGATCCGCTTTTTCTAGGATAATGTGGATGCACCCTCAGAGTGTATTTTTTATCAAATAAAGTAAAAAAATACCGAGGGTGCTATTTAAAAATCAGAAGTTGTAGTAATTTCCGGTGAAACAGAAAGTGACCAAAAACAATTATGAAAACGTCAATCAGTGCTAATTTATGTCATATATTAACATACCAAATCTCGTTTTTATATGTGAAAAAATAAAAACGTTATAGGGGTGAGCCACTTTTGAGACGCACCCGGTATATAAATTAAGAACTAAAATCAACACCATAAAGTTCTTAATTAGAAATTACTGAACATAAAATATGTAGTTACATTTTTCTTTTAACTTTTATCAGTTTTTACATACCTACCTATATCTTTATTTTATCTTTTTATTTTAAACTGTAAATTATCATCATGACTATGAAACAAAACATTACAATAAACAAAAATATTGCTCCATTATACTTACTTTTAACAAAAATATACCGTATGATAAAAAACGGCGTCCAGTTGGCTTGGAAATGAACATCGATGACATTCACCCCATATAATTTTACATATAAAATGACAGCAATCTTCATTTCATAGCCATCCCTGACGCCGTTTTTGTTCGATCATACGGTATATTTAACTTAGGTATATATATCATCCAAATTTGTTTCTCTTAAATTTTTGTGAACTTCAACGTAGTTTAAAAGCATACTAGCTTATTTCGCGACCTCGAACGGTTCATGCATTGATTTAAATGATTGTTTACCTCTTTATAGATAGAGCTAGTGAGCTTTACACACAATTGCACTATTTAAACTATGTTTTTAATAGTTTTAGAGCTACTCGTATCTCATATGAAAGTTTGCAATTGTCGATTTTCTGGGTATGATACAGGGTGAGTCTCGAATAAGTGCAAATATTTGCAGGGGTGGTAGATCTCGATAAAAGAAACATATTTTCTCTTTACTGTTTTTTAAATAACTAAAGCAACAGAGTTATTTTACTTTAAAAATTAAAAAAAAAATGTTTTGCGAAAAAAAATTTTCAATTTTTTTTCGCGAAAAAAAACTCATAATCGTGTGTTTCTGGGGTCGAAATATACTGCCGCTAAGAATAGTTGCACTTATTTAAAACCCACCCTGTATATCCTTTCAGAAAATCGATTTTTTCAATTTTGACTTAACATTTATAAATAGCCGTCAATATACCAATTTCAAGAGCATTTTGGTTCTCTCTAAACGTTATTATGTATTTAAAAAAATCAGAAAATTTAAAAATCGTTTCTTATTTTTTCATCCCCTATATATGACTTTTTAACAGGCTTTGTATACCAAAAATATAACTTTTGATTAGGTCCGCCTGAAATGAGTTGGGGTTGTGAAATAGGCATCATTGATTTTTTTTTAAATATAAATAACAGAAAAATTGAATAATGATTTTCCTTAATATAAAATTCTTATCAAATATTTTATGACATCAGCCTTAAATACTATAACGCCGTTGATTGAAACATTAAAATTTGTTAATCCTGTGCTGAATTTTAGAGTCGATATTGGACTTTTCCGAAATCAAACTGCCGAGGTAATTGAATTCCGCTACATATTCTAATAGTTCTTCTCCGATTTTTATAGTATTGTTATGATCTTCCGGGGGAGTGCACATAACTTTAGTTTTATCGATGTTCAGCTTAAGGCCCAAAGCTTCGTATGCCCAGGTCTATGTGTTCAACATTTCTGTAACGTTTTTGCAACTAGAGCGCAGTCATCAGCATAGTAGTACCTACTTTAATTATTTGAGTAAGTACCGCCTATTTACTGATATTATTAATTACTATTGATACATACATCCCATATAACACACAATATCCGCAGGATATTCATAGAATGTCGGAATGTCCCATTATAAGATCATCTTATAAAGACATCTATAGGATATCCCCCAGACATCCTGAAATCCTGTAGATGTCTCAGAATACAATATCCTATGGATATCTCTGTCGTATATCTAATGTACATCCAGCTGAGATATCCAAACATGCTCATGATAATAAAATATCCTAACAATATCGTCTAGATATTTACGAAAAATAAATAATGCACTACTTTTTATATTACAATAAACCATACAGATAGATATATATTACGTCAAGGCAACAAAATATCCTGTTGGTATCTTCTGGATAATCTGGATATTTATGAGCTTGGCCACTCCCAGTAATACAGAGAATTTAAAACGCCCGCGCAAAAAATTTCCCACAATCCATCTCGACAGTTGTTTGTTTTTGCATCGTGTATTATTCAGTTCTTTGATTTAGTGAAATTCGAGGTGAATCGGTCGTTTGTCGATATTAAATGGGCTTAAAAATGACTGAAACTAACAAAACTGGTTGAGTTTGACTTAGTTTTTTCTTATACTCATAGTTCTAGCCTTGTTCTAGCAGAAATTCTATCCTAACCTCAACTAATATCGAAAAACGACGAACGACTCTGGGTCTCACAATGAAAAATTTGTGACAAAATTATAGGTGAAAATTTGTTGAAAAGCGCTTGTTCTTTATCCCTAAACCCATTTTCGTGTTTGATCTATTCAAACACAAATCCTATTTTTGTGTTTAAATTGTGAGTTTCTGGAATGTGTGGTGTTAGAAATTATACCTGTAGCCTGTGTGCTAACTTTGATGTAAACTGTTGCTGCTAGACATAAACTGTTAGACTCCATAAAGGGTAGTATAATCTGGTATACCATACGATCGAAAAAAACGGCGTCAGAGGTGGCTTGGAAATGAAGATTGCTGTTATTTTGTATGTAAAATTATATGGGGAATGGCATCGATCGTAATTTTCAAGCCAATTGAACGCCGTTTTTTTTTCGATGGTACAGTATAAATTGAAAGCTCTTAACTCATACAAATAAACTTCTAAATTTTGACGCAAAATTCATTGACATAATATGTAGGTATATTTTAGAGCTGTTAATAAAAATATCCAATGAATAACGTCAAAATGTGGCTAAATAAAACTAAAAAGCGCACGTTTTTACTATAAACTAAGGATGAAGTAAGTATTGTCAAATAACAGTCCTCGTATAATGTCCTAAAAATATTCTATAATGCTCCCAACATCATCCTTGTATTATCCTAGATATATCCCAAATAATCGTAAAAGGCTTGCCTAGGGATGTCTTGAAGATTACTTTTTTTGTCCCATCTAGATATCCCATAAATATCCTCCTCTGGTTTTTGGATATCCCTAAGATATTTACTATATCCTTGGTGGATATCCTCAAGATATCTATAGGATTGTGTTGTGTTATATGGGGCAGGTGTCGGGTAATACACAGCGTGTTTCAAAAAACATGTGTCATCTCTCGTTGGGAGATTCCTCACGTAAAAATAAGATATATTTTTCATATCAACATAAGTCCGATTTTGCTTTGTTTCATAGCTACAGGGTGTTAAAGTCTTCATTTTTATTTACCTACCGGCACTTATTATAATTTTCTTCCAAGTACTCTTAGTGATTCGAATGAAATTTTGAGGTTATACTATAAGTGCTACATATTTTAATGTTAAAAAAGTGTTGATAAATGTATCAGGGACGTGCATATGGGTTATGACTAGAATATTCTTCAAAAAAAAAACATGTGCGCCACTGATTTCTATTCTTTTGATATCTAAATTATGTAGAACGTTTAATGCCAATTAAAAGTTATCTCTTGATTATTTGTCGAATTCGGCCTCCTTATTGATGAGATAAACGCAATTTTATTAATCACAATTAATAAAATTAAAATAAAAATAAAATTAATAAATTACATATTTTCCCTATACAATTATTTTTAAATCATATTACTATTAGTCCAACCTACAACAATTTCAAATAAAAAATAATGGTATTTGAGATAATTACAAAACCTGTAACTCTAAAACTATACATTTCCATAACCATGTTTATAGGAACTTTTTTTTATATTTTTTGATGAGGAATCAATGAGTACTTATTTAAAACTTTCGCAAGTTAATGATATTATTTTTTTTTGAAGTTTCCTATTAGACTTGGATCAAGGCAAATTAATAAAATTTTGTTTATCTCATCAAGGAGGTCGAAATCGACAAAATATCAAGAGACAACCTTTAATCGGCATTAAACTGCTTATACTATTTCGACAAGAGAAAAATGTCAGTGGCGTACATACCTTTTTTAGAAAAATATTCCATTGATAA